GCTGTCTCCAGTCAAGGAGGCCACATAAAGGTGCAGGTGCTCACCTCTGTGGTGCAGACACCCTTGCACCAGCGCTGTCCCATGAAGGCAGGGGCTGCCACAAACGGGAGGGAGGGAGCTCCCCATCCCTGGGGGTGTTCAAGCAGAGTCAAGAGGCTACTGGGGAGTGAGGCGGGCGGGTCCAGCGACTGTTAAGAATCCTAGGCAAGGTATTTCTCTGCTCGAAGATTCTGAGTGTTAGTGAGCCAGAGTGACAGTTCCTCTGAAGTTTGAATTAAATGTAACCGCTCCCCCAAGCTACTTCCAGAAATTTCAGTCTCTGCAATCCTCTCAGCCAAGCCCCATGGAGCCTGAGCAAATGGAAGGGGGCTCCAATCCCTACTCTATCGGGGCAGCCAGTGACAGCCTCTCCAAGTCACAGCGGCTGCCTCTGTCAGTCAGGGCCATGACGGCAGCACATACGGCTCACGTGAGGGTGTGATGGGAATGCAGTGAAAGCCTCGGTCACTCCGTCGTGACTAGACCAGGCGCTGTGCACCTGATCCTAGCTTGGAGGGCTATGGAGGGGGAGGCAGGGCTGGGGAAAGTGAAGAGGCTGAGGTGACAAGAGGGCTGGGTGTGAGCGAGGGAGTCATGCAAGGCCGAGACTGGGGGTTTCCGGTGCCAGGCAGAGGCCCCAGGACCTGTGAGAGTGGACATGTGTTCCCCAGCAGGGCGCCAGGCGGGCACATCCATCATTGCCGGGGCCTGCCAGCCCAGGCTCCAGCCACTGGAGCTGGCGGCAGATCAAAGGGTGTTGAGGGGGAAGCCGACAGCTGAGCCAGGCCCACTGACCTCATCGACCCTCGTTGGCTGCCCAGGCTTCAGGAAAGTGGGGCTAAGAGGTGCCTGAGGGTGAGGCTTCAGGGAGGCAGATTCCAGTTTCAGCAAAGAGCTGAACTACCAGGCACAGACTGGCCAGAGGTGTGCCTTTATCATTGATTAGATACCCATTTTACAGATGAGACCACCGAGGCCCAGAGGTCTCCTTCTGCACCCACCTTCAACCACAAAAGAAGGGTAAAACCCAGAAAAACCCAGGGGAAGCACCAAGAGCGAGTGGAGAGAGGTACTGGCACGTGGAGAAGCGGCAGGGGCTCCGCAACACCACCAGAGTATGTCTGACCCAGTCTGCTGAGCTCCCCAGAACCAGGACACCCCTCTCCTGGCTTGACCTCCTGATCTCAGCACCTACAGTGGACCAGGAGCGCCTCCCCCCACACCAGGCCTCTGTGTCCCCATCCGGGAAACGGGTGGGTTGCTTTCACTGCTCTCCATGAGGTCTCCCAGCCCTGGAATGGGCCGGGGAGGACTGGCGAGGGGTTCCAGAAAGGAAAGGAGGCCTCTTCAGCTCAGATTTAACAAGCCGCCTGTTCGGTTGGAACTGATCAAAACCAGATTTGAGCTCAGCCGTGTCTCTGATTTGCACGGACTGAAGCCGCCAAGAATTCATCCCTCACTATTTCCAGTAAATAATTGGGCTCCCGTGGGGTTCCCAGGGCAGGCCGGACGTCTCACCTCCTCTCTCACAGTGAACTTGACCAGGGCAGGCGGGTGGGAAGGAGCCCCAGCCAGTTGTGCTCCTACCACACCCCCGGCTCGGCCCTGCCCCTCACGTGGTGGGGCGGCCGCCAGCTGGACCGCCAGGAAGTCTGGCCCTGTTCCCCCTCATTCACGCACTCCACGAACCTCAGCTCCACCACTGTGATGGGTGGACCCGAGGGAGCGGCCCTGGCCCTCCGCGGGACCCCCCCCATCCCCATCACTCCCCACTGTCCCGGAAGGGTCCTCTTTTGCTGGTCCCTGACTTGTAAAAAAAAAAAAAAAATGAAAATGAGGAAATGCCAAACCGGGTTCAAATAACCCAGCGTGAGCGCTGCTGGGCTGTGAGCGTCTTTCCTTCTGCCGGGGGGTGGCCTTGGAGGTGGTGCCAAACTGTGCGAGGCGCCCGCAAAAGCCCTAGGGGCCCTGCTTAGTGGAGGAGATGTTTTGAAAACACAGGGATTCCGATGAAGTGAGGTGGGTGGGGTCTGGAGCCTGCATTTTAATAAGCGTCCCAGAGGGTTCCCCCTCCCCTGGTTGGGAACTAAGGCTATAATAGAACTGTCCCGGACAAGAATTCCACCCTTACCTCCAGATTCTAATTTTGGAATTCTCGGGGCCCCTAAGTCACCCTTGTTGCTCCAGGGAAAAAAGCAAAGTAACAGAGAGTATCCATATGGGTGCTGCCATTTCACACCCACCTGGGTGTGGGGTTCAACCCCATGGAGGAGAGTTGGCAGCTGAAGAGGCCCTGGCCAGCCCAGGGAGGCTGGGCTGTGCAAGGATGGTGTGAGCAGGGCGGCTGGCCTCCTTCATGGGAGCCTCCTGGGGTCCTGCGAGGTCTCCAGCTGGCGCTGACCCTCTGCAGGGAGGAAGGCAGGAGGGGCAGGCCTGCTGCAACTCAGCACAGCTAAGCCCCCTGCTCTCATTTACATTAGATACAGGATTGAATTCATTTTGAATTTCAAATAATTTAAAAGATGGCATGAAATTTAGCAAAAGGGAGGATGCTTTTTAAAAGTTTCAGAAACCTTGTGAGGGGCTGATGACTTAGGGTCCTCCTCCTGGGTGCCACATTTGAGTTCAGGTGCTGAGTTACCACTTTTGATTCTCAGCTGCAGTTGGTTCAAACCAAGGCCTGATAAATCCTGGATGGTCCTCTGGGCCCCTCACAACATTCCCTGAATAAACTGACTAGCTAAGAGGGGTCAGGGTAGAGGGAAGCTGAGGAAGGAGGGTGTGTGCCAACCTGCTCCCCCTTCCGGGACCTGGGCTCTGAGTAGGGACTCTATTTCCTCAGGACCCTGCTTATCTGTCCTCTCCTGGGTCTCAGAGTCCCAGTTAGGGGAGGTATCCCAGGTATCCCTAGAGAGCAGGCCACTCATTCTTGACACCCTGGGAAAGGAATTTGAATGAATCTCACTCTCCCCCACCAACTGGACCATTTTGGGCTCCCCCTTCCTCCTGTGCCACGGGCCCTTCTCTGATGAGCAGTCAGCCTGGCTGGGAAAGTGACTCTAGGCCTTTCCTGCTCAGGCCCCTTGCTTGGCTCCCCGGGGAGCAGGGCCCCAACCACACTGCAGAGCTGTGCTGGAGGAGGAGGAGGGAAGGGACTCCAGCCTTTTCTTCCACCTCGGATGGACAGCGCTCCAGGAGATGAGTTGGGGGTACCTTAAAGATGGAGAGGGGATGCTCATCAGGCATTGTCTCAGTCTCATGGGTTCCCTTCTAAGCCCTTCCTTGGACTCTGGGACCCTGAGAGGAATCCCACCAGGTGAGGCCCACGGGGGACCATCCCTGGCTCTCCTTGATCCCAGACGGGGGCACCACGTGAGTAAAAGTTGGGTTAGATGCTCCTCCATATCTCAGCACCCAACCCATGCAGGGAAGGTTCTGGAAAATGTTAGCAAGACTCTAGCCTCCCCCCAAACTTATCCTGTCTACTGCAAGATGAACCAGGAGAGAAAATGTGAGGAGCAGGGAACGTTCCTGCAGGGGCCCCTGCTGAGGATAGCACTGGGGATAGAGGCTTGGTGTATAGGGGAGCTGGACCCACACAGGAGCTGACCTGCTGTGCCCCAGCACCCTTTGCCCTGAGTGCCCTCCTATCTGGGGAACCCCTCCCCACTCCAGGAAGCCTGTACTACTTGCCCAGGCTGCCAGGGTCTCTTGCCTCCCCAAGGCCTCCAAGTAGCTCCCCTGGAGGGGAGAGGTGACAGCCTGCAGACATCTGGCACAGGGCTAGCAGCAGAGCTTGCCCGTGGACCGCTCAGCTTCCAAGGGGCCAGCCTGCCTCCCTGCTTCCCTCTCACACCTGTAACAACAGGCGCGTGTCTGTGTTTCCAGTCTGTGACTTTTACTCCCTTGTTACCTCCCTAGTTTGACAGATTAATACTCGGGGAAGCCCCCGGGGATAATTGGAGGAGAGGCACTGCCCAGGCTCCCTGCCAGCTCCCCAACCAAGGGGACTTGGCTGCTGAGAGGCAGCCCCGGTTCTGCCTCATCTACATCCCAGACCTGCAGACGGATGGCAGACAAGGGCCTCGTGTCCCTGCCACCTCCCCATCCTTCCCAAGTTCAGCCAGAGGAAGTCACTTTCATGCAAGTAATTGGCCCCTGAGTGTCTGTTGGATGCAGTTCTGGGCCACCCAAGGGGAGGGGAGCTGGGCACCAGCCTGGGTACACCTGGCCCGTGCTCCTCCAATGAGGAGTGTTCCTTGATTTCATCAACAGGCCCAGTGCCACCCCCCTGATGCCACAGACCCTGACCTCTACCTGGCATTTGTGATTCCTGATCCCGAGGGGCCCTGCCTGGATATCCTCTGGCAGCAGCCACACCCAGCTCCTCATTCCCCCGGAAGGGGTCAGGAAGGGGGCTGTTGATGGACACAGCATGCAGGACCCCGCCAAGCCTGGGGTTTGGGCCCATGTTTGGGTTAAAGACAAGGATGAGCCTTGCTGCAGTGGTTCCCAGCTGGCCCCATGGCTTCCAGCCAGCGCAGCCACTCCCTTGACAGGACAGACCCAAGGGCCCTCTCCTTCCTTATCTCCCATGGTTAGATCTGTTCACAGGTGCACATGTTGGCTCCCTGTGAAAGCTCAGATCCCCCAGGGCACACTGTAGCATGCTGAGTCATGTTCAGACTCCACCCTGGGACTATTCGATTCTCATCCCAGAAATAGTTCTAGATACTTCTCACTACCTGCTTTCAAGGGCCTCTCAGAGAAAGATATGGAGTCAGAAGAACAGACTTTGTAACCATGAACCAGCCCTAAGAGCTGTGTGACCTTGGGCCAGTCACTGTCCCTCTCTGGGCCTTAACTGAAAAGTGAAGCCAGTTTCTGGGCCTATTATGATCTCATTTTTCACTCCTCTCACTTCCACATCCCACCTTATGACCTTTACACAGAGGCTCAGCAGGGTCTCACACTATTTCGCAGAGGGAAATGGAGAGTTGACACATCCGGACCATGTCTCCTCAGGGACCTTAGAGGCTCATAGCAACAGGCCTATGAAGAGGAACCAGGGCGCAGAGGGCCAATGACTGACCACAGCAATAAAAATAGCCAACATCTAGTGCCCGCTGTCCTTGTGCCATTGACCGGGCTAAATGCTGTGCAGGTAGATATTTTTTCTCATTGTTGTAAACTCTTCCCCCACCCCTGTCACCATCTCTTGTACCTGTCCCCCCACCTTGATGTCAGAAACCTCCCTTCATCATCAGTGGCTGTCAGCTTTTGTAAGTATTTGGCTTTGTTGATTCCTGCGCATTCCTTGTTTTACGCTTTTATATAAACATCAATATTTTGATTGATGTTGGGAAATATGCCGCTCCAATTACACTTTCGTGCCCCTTATAATAATAAATTGCACCCTTCACAATTGAGGTACCCAAGATTTATTGGTTATATATAAAAAAAAAACCTGGCATAGAGAAAAATGGAACTGGACTTTACCTTATTTGTATCAACACTCGCCCCTCTTGGAATCCAGGGTTTGCAGGCTCTACTGTCAAGATGCGTTGTCATAATACTACTAGATGCTCTCCATTCAAAACCAAGACCTGTAAAACTGCTCTTCTGTTCTTTCCTTACATTCTTTGACATGGTCCAGCCCAGTTTAAGGAAGAAAAGTTTCTATGAAATTTTACTGAGACACCTAAGTTTTCACGTATCTGCACCTCGCCCTTATATATTTCTCCTAACTCCTTCAATTCCAGTTCCTCAAGCCCAACCCCTGACTTTTCCACCGGGTATTATTATTTCCTCATGCATCGATCACTCCATTCTTAGTACATCTAAGTCTATTTTCTCTATTAAACAACAGATTCATGCCTGGCTACCAGTTAACCTCACCAGGCCTTGGGAGGGTGGATCATCCTTGATTTAAACTTAGAATTAAATCTAAGAGTTTTTTGGCCTCCCTGATAGCAGCTATAATCTTTCTAGTCTCACTGGCCGCTACTGCAGCTCTGGCTGCCACAGCTCTGGCAAAGTCTCTCCATATGGCCAAGGAGGTTCATCAATTTATGCATAACATCACAGAGGACCTCCTTGCTCAAGCCCGAATTGATCAGCAAACTCTTACCAGGCTCGATGCTCTTGAGTCCGCTGTCCTCTGGCTTGGTGAACAAGCCTTGTGGACTCTCTCTCTCCTGCAGCATGACGTGGGTTTTGACCGCTTATGTGTAACTAATATCACTGCCAACAATCTTACCTCCTATTTCTGGGCCCTCCAGCAACATAATTTGTTACAAGCCTTTGATTCTCCTTTGGAGGGCTCTGTTTGTGACCTTCAGGCCAAGTTGCTAAATCAGCTCCGTAAAATTCAACAAGTTTCCCAACAATCAATTGATGATCTTCTCTCATTTGCCAAACTTGCTAACCCACATATGTGGTGGACAGGCTTCTCTTTACAAACTTATGTTCAAATATTTTTATGCCTCCTATTTTTTTTCTTGTCTGCCTAGGACAATGGTAACGCCTTTACCTCCAGTCACGGCGCTGCCAACAAGCCATGGTGATCGGCCAGGCCCCTCCTCACCTTCCCCGTCTCCCCCTCACCCCCATAACAGAAAGGGGGGACATGTGGGTTCCTATGAGCTGGCCACTCATGGGCAACTGTGACCTATTTGCTACCTACACATCACAGCAGAACATTCCTCGACTCTCTACAGAGTATAGCTCCTATCACAAGGCAGGCCTGGGGACGCCTAGGCTGAAGTTGACCTGAGTATGTGACTATCTCCATGGCGGGCCCGGGATAACTCTGCCTGTGATGACATCATACTTTGCTGACGCGAACGTCTCTTGACACATGGTCACAATGTCCCCTTCCTTGTCCCTCGTAAAACTTTGTCCCCTATTCCTATCCCACCCTCCGGACCCTATTCCTCATACCATTGTGGCGCGATCAGCTTTTACTAGCCTGGATGCTTTCAATAAATGGCACAAGAACTTCTCCACAAGTAGCAGAGTCTTGCCTTGCCAACCTGCTCCTATTGTTGCTTCCCTCATGGCGTACCCACCCCAAAGTGGCAACAAAGTTCCTTTCCCAACAACCTCATTAGCAAATCTGGAGGTATTTGCTTCTTTTTGATGCAATTGTGAAAGGATTTATTTTCTTAATTTTTTTTCTTGTCTCATTTGTATGTAAAAATGTGATGGATAAAAATGTGTATATTGATTTTACAACCTTTGCCACTTTGCTGTATTCATTTGATAATCTTAACAGCCCTTTTGGTGGGGCCTTCAGGGTTTTCTCTATAAATACACCTTCCTGTTATCTGTGAATTAATGACAGTCTCACTTTATCTTTTTCAACATCAATTCTTTTTATTTCCTGTTGTGGTCTCATTGCTATAGCTAAAATCTGTAACACTAAATTAAACAGAAGTGGTGGCAAATGGGCAAACTGGTCCCGCTTCTGATCTTAAAGGGAAAGCCTTCAGTTTTGCACCCTTAAGAATTATATGTACTGTAGCTTTGTGATATATGGTCTTTATTATCTTGAGGTAGGCTCCTTCCCATCTGTTAAGAATTTTTATCAAAAAAGCATGCCGAATGGATCAAATGTTTTCTCTGCTAAATGCTTTGCATTTATTAACTCATTTAATCCTCCAGGGAGTTTGGCCATGCTATTATCCTATTCCACAGATGAGGAAAGCAAGGCTCAAAGAGGTGAAATTATTTGCCTACAGCCACACAGTTTATCAGGTGCAGAGCTTGGAGTTGAAGCACGCTGTGTAACACCCAGAGCTGTCCCTGGCAAGACTCAAACCAGCTGCGCCTGCCCAAAGCGCTCCAAATATGTCTGTTCCAGTTTCTTCCAGTCTGGAGGAGATGCCAGCTTGCAGAGTGGGATGGCCAGCAGGTACACGTCCCCTGGGGTCCCTCCACACCGAGCATTTCCCCACTGAGACAGTGATCCCCAGGGAAGGAGGGTGCTGGGGGCCGCACAAAAATTCCTCAGAGGCGAAGAGGGTCTCCCTGCCCAGGGATGGAGAGGCTGAGGGCCTGGTGTCCCTGGGCAAGAAGAGGCAGCTGTCCTGGGGGCTCTGTTAGCTTAGAACCAGGAAGGGTTTTCTATGAGAAGGTGAAGAGAAGCTCATAGACACAATCAGAAAACCCCCAAACCAGCCAGCATTATATAGCCACAGAACCAAACCCTGAACCCCCACTTCCATGTACCGTCTGGCCCTTCACTAGCTCTGTCCCTACCCACAGAGGAGAGAGGCGATCTGCCTATTGCCCTGGCAGGATCTCCTTCTCTGGTCAGGCGGGCCCTGCCAAGCATGCAGGCAGGGAGGTGACACTGGTGTCCCCATACAACTGTGTGGCCCTAGATAAGTCGCCTAACCTCTCAGTCTACAACACGGTCACCTAGCCTCTCTATTCTATCATGTCGTGCTAGTCACCAAGACCTCACAGGTGGCTTTGAGGCTTAAGCGAGAGGAAGGGGACAAGGGATTTGATTCAGTACCAGGTGCTCAGCTGCACAGTCACGTCACCCACACACCCCATGGGGGTCTGATGCAGGCTCGTTTCTGTCATCAGGCCTAGCCTCATGCTGGGCACTGGGAGAAGGAAGTCAGGCGGGTGTGGCTGCTGGGAGGTGGGACCCCAGCGTGGGATGGAGAACCTGGATACAGTGTGAATGACTCACCCAGTGTCATGGAGCAAGTCAGTGTCTGTTTCTGCAACTTTCTGGGCCTCAATGTTCCCATCTGTACAATGGTTCCTCTCTTCTGCCTACTGGAGGAGGTCAAGTGGAAGAGACGAAGGCAGGGCCTGCTGAGCAGAGCCAGACACGCAGAGGCTCTTTTCAGCTCCCACTGGGATCACCGGTCTCAGGATCCAGAGCCAGTGGAGACAGAATAACTCAGGCCACAGCACAGAATAACTCAGTGTCTCCCATCCCAGGGTGCTTGCTTGTTGCAGGCCGCGTATAGAATAGGCTGGCTCCCTCCTTCCACTCACTAGGACTAGAGATGTTGCTGTACTGAGGGGCAGAAGGGGGCCACCACCCCGTATGCATTCATGAGTGTGGTGCCTCCTCCTCTTGGAGGATCAGGAAGAGGGGTATTCTATCTCACCCCCAAAATGCAGGATGCATGCTCACAACATGCCCACCTCCTGTGCAGACCTGGCTTCCTCTGGGGAGGAAAGCGCTGCACTTGGGACAGAGTCCTGGCCCCACAGACCAGTGAACTTGGCCTGTGGATGGGGAACCAGCCTGGATGAGACAGAGAGGGAGAGACAGACTCCAGCTCCTGTGAGGTCCAGCCTGAATGCTTGTGGGCCACTTTCCCTCTCAAGGCTTCACTTTTCATGTGCAAAGTGGGGACATGAACCCTTGTTTGGTGGGAGAGCTAAGTGAGGGTTGCTGAGATGGTGTATTGAGGGCGTCCTCCATAATTTTAAGGGCATTTTTCTCAGTTCAGTGCTGGAGCCTCCCTACTGCCTCCCGACCTTCTCAGCGTTTACCTATCCACATGTTTCATGGGGAAACTGTACTGAAGGATCGAGAAGACTGCCTCTTCTTACAGGTAAGTCATTAGTTACCTCTCCAGCTGGGAAGTGAGACCCTGCAGGATTTTGGAGGAGGGTCTAGAGAATGTTAGAAGTTAAGCTGGGCCCCCAGAAGTGAGATTCTGGGGTCCCCTGAAAGCTTGTAGAGTCCAGCAGAGCCCCCGCCATCTGGAGCAGCCTGGACCAGGGCCAGACCTGCCATGCTGGAGATGAAAATGGCCCTGGGGTCTAGGGTGGGGATGGGGGGGGTGGTCTATCACCCACCGGGTGGGCGGGATGAGCTGAGTCAAAATAAATCACTAACACAGGGGTGGAGAATTCCTTGAACAGGCGCCCAGGATTATGGATGACAGAGGGGGTGGGGATGAGGGAGGCCTTAGGGGAACCGTGCTGCGACCCCCTCCCTCTCAGGCACCTCGGCCCTTCCCCCTCCTACATTAGGGGCTGTGACTGTGGCTGTCTCTAGGTGGGGGTGGGGGAGGGGGTGGGCTCAGTTGGGGGCCTGTAGTGCCCAGGCCCAGCCCCTGATCCATGTGTGAGAAACTTGAAAAACCCTGAGACCATCCTAGGGGAGGGAGGTGTTGAAAGCCGCATCCTGCTCCAGGGTGGAGCCAAGGCCAGAGATAATATCGCAGGCTGAGGAGCACTACGGCTGGTTTACAAGTCCCCACCACAGCCCAGCACTCTGCACCCCGCAGGGCCTGGGCCTGGACTTGAGCCTGAGCTGTTGGGCAGGGGGTGCTGCTCCCACCCTGGGAATGAGCCAGGTCCCTGTTTGGGGACCCACAGGGCAGGGTCAGCGGTCAGCCTGGGGAGGGGAAAGCTGAGGTCTGCAACTGTCAGATCATCTTGGGGTTCCTGCCCACACCTCTCTGGACCTGTTTCCACATTTGGAAGGTGGAGTGGGGGATCCCCAGTTCACATCTAAAGGTTTGTAAGTGCCTACAGGGCCTGCACTGGACCAGGGCACCAGGCTGGCTCTGGATTGCGCTGTCAGGCTTAGCTGTAGCTCCTGGGGCAGGGTTGGTGGCTGAGGAGTGGGTGGGTGGATGAGTGACTATTCAAGAAATAGCTGAGGGCCCATAAATCCTACAGTCCAAGCATGACTAGAGGTTGGGTTCAGCCTTTTTTCTGGCTCAGTAAGGAAACCTCACACTTCACAGTTTACAAAGGGCTCTGCATTCTCTCCCTTGACCCTGGGAGGAAGGTACAGAGAAGGCCTAATGCCCCCTGTGCCAGATGAGGAAAATAAGAAAGGCTCAGCTGAGCTTGGCACCTGACAGTCTCCCCCCAGGATTCCATGAAGCCCAGAGCAGCCAACAAGGCAGGAAATGCCACACTGCTCAGCAGATGACACCCCTGGGTCCAAGTTGGTCAATGCAGGGGATTAAAGGCCCAGTCAGGGCCAGAAATCAGGTGTCCAGCTCCCAGCCCGGTCTGCCCAGGCCCAGCTTGAGCCTGCTGTGTCTGCCATTTTCCTGAGCCCTGGCCTCATGGCAGGAAGGCCCTGCTCACAACCCTTCCATGCTCAGGAGCTTCCACAGCATCTGAAGCCCCTCATGCCTGGGCCCCACCAACCCCTGTGCTGTGCCTGCCTACTGCCCCTGCAGTGCTGAGACATGCCAGGCAGTGGACAGAGTCTTTTCTCACATATCAAATAACCTCAACACCGGCTCCCAGAGCTACTCCAGACTTCAGCCCCCTGGTGCCTCCCCACAAAACACATCTGCCCGAGGCCTGAAAATGCTGCACTGAAGGTCAACAGCCCAAGTCACCAACTTTTGTGTTGTTCCCTGGGGTGGAGAGAGGTTGGGCTTTAGCTTGGGGTTGGGTGGACCCTTACTACTTGGGTAAACTTGGCCCACTCAGCAGCCTTCTCTGATCCTTGGTTTCTTCATCTGTAAAACGGAATGATGATTCACTCCTCAGGGGATGCATGGTATTGCAAGAGATGTGAATGTACTTCACAAACTGTAAAGAGTTGTTCAAAATACAAGGAAATGTGAGGGAAGAACTGAGTGGGACTTCCCAGGGGCACAACAAAGTGGAGGACATTCCTGTGCAAAGGCCTGGAGGTGGACACCTCTGCCCAGGTACTGACTCCACACTGACAGGGCCCCACCACTGGCTCCTGGTCTGAGACATGGAAGCCTCTGTAGGGCCCGCTGACGAGCACATTCTCAGGGGACCACTCGGCCCTGGTTGGACGGCTCCTTCTCTTAGAGCAGGGATAGATCCCATCTTGTAACCTTCTAAATAACCCCAGTGAACCTCTTACACAACAAGCTCAGTGGAGGGGTCTCAGGGGCAAACCAGGTCATAGTGTCACCAGCTGGGTGAGCACTGGAGCACCCTATAAGCACCCACATCTCCTCGGGCCGAGGAGCTCAAAGTACCACCCAGCCCTCCCCAGGGCATGCCTCCATCTCCAACCTTGAGTAGCCCGACAAGGTCCAGGCAGTGGCCAGGCAAGTGCCTGGAAGTACAGGGAGGTAGGACAGGCAGAGAGGTACCAGAACGGTGCTGAAAGGGGTTGGAGGAAGCTGTTCTGGAAGAAAACAAGAGAACAATCATGGATATCAGGGACCCACGGGAGGGCTGCCCTGCCCTGGGCTCTCCCTGGCTGCTTACCCCTCAAGGTTCAGTTGGGGAGACTGAGGGCTGGCCTGGAGCCCAGCTCATCTTGGCTCCCTGGCTGTTGCCTCTGCTACCCGCTCACTGGGAGGTCCCCAAGGCAGGGTGGTGACTGGAAAGTCAGTGCAGGGATGTTGTGGGGGACAAAGCTGAGTGACTGACTCTTCAGAATACTTTGTGGAACTAATAAATAAAGCCAACATGATTGCTTAACCTATAGAGGAGGCCCAGGAGGCCCTGCGAATGAATGAAGCTAGGCAAATGAGTCCAGTGTCCTCTGCCAGCAAGGGGGCAGGGAGGCCCTGCTGTGTGTCTTTACCTTCATGACATTGGTTTTATTTGCTCTCACAGGAGCCCTGAGAGGAAACAAGTATATCCGGATTTAAAGATGAGGACACCTAAATTCACAGATGTCAAGTCACTTGGGCAAAGTCACACAGCCAACAGAGGAAAGAACAAGAACTTGAACTCAGGTCCCTGGCATCAGGAGCGTGGGCACTGGCTGGCCCTTGGACCCTCAGTTCTCAGGCCAGAGCTTCCTTGAAGACCAACAAAGCTCTCTCCCCACAGGCACCCATGGGGGGCTACTGATCATTGAGGCCTGTCATCTCTGCTGTCCTTAGAGCTCACCCTTTGGCTCTCAGTTTTTCCTCTCCCCCACAAAGCCTACCACCCCACAGCTCCTCAGGAAACAAGGGGAGCAATGGAGCTTCCAGTGATCGTTGAGGATATGAGGTCTAATTCTCTGGCTCCCTGTGACCTCCACCCACCCATAGCTTTTGGTCTATCCCTTGACTCAAGCAGAACAAACCCAACCTCCCTCTCACATCTGGAAAATTCCTACTTCTACTTATCCTTCAGGGCCTAGTCAAACATTGAGGTTTTCCCTGTCTCTAGCTCACCTCTGAAGTTCAGGAGCTCCCCAGAGAGCCTTGCAATTACCGACCTACATGAACCCAGAGCTCAGTTCTGAACCCCCTCTTCCCTCTCTGTAGTCTCCCTACTGCCACTGACCTCTTGGCTATACATCCAGCAGCAAAGTCTAACAGGCCTCTTGAATGGGACAAGTCTAACGCTGACGTCAGCGTTTCTGCAGATAAACCTGCCTCTCCTCTTCTTTGCATTATGCTCCCCAGCCTGTCTCTATTCTCCCTTCTACCCCTGAGTAATTCTGTGATCTACTCTTCTGAGTTACTCTTCTCCCTTCTGCCCCTCAGTAGCCACTGTGATTAAAAAAAAAAAAAATCCACCTTGAGGAATAATTACATATAATAAACTGCACTCATTTAAAATAAACTATACTTATTTCATAATTTTTATACAGGCACACCCCAGAGATATTATGGGTTTGGTTCTAGACCACTGCAATAAAGCTATTATCACAATCAAATGAGTGACACAAATTTTTTGGTTTTCCAGGGCATAAACATGTTACATTTCCCCACTATGCTGGAGTCTATTAGGTGTGCAATACCATGTCTACAAAAGCAATGTATGAGGGGCCTCCCTGGTGGTGCAGGCGGTTGAGCGCCGCACTGTGAAGCTGTCCGCAGCCTCTGCAGCGCAGGTTCGATCCCAGCCGGCCAGCGAGAATCCCACATGGTGAAGCAGACCTCTCCTGTCGCAGGCGCTGCTCCCCTCAGCAGGGTATTTCAGTCAGTCTGCCTGCTCCGTTCTCCGCTCTGTCTCTGGTGAATCCTCTCACCCTCCCGCGCATCTGGCCTGTACCTTGGTTCTTGTATAAATAAATAAATCTTTAAAAAACAAAAAAGCAATGTATGAACCTCAATCAAGCATGACACAGAGACAGGAAGTGAGCACACTCTTGGAAAAATGGTGCCAACAGACTCACTCGAGGCAGGTGGCCACAAAGCTCCAATTTGTAAAAACCAGTATCTGTGAAGCACAATGAATCAAAGTGCCATAAAACGAGGTATGCCCATAATTCCCAACCTACAGAGATTTTTATAGTTATTATGGCATGTTCCCCCTTCTGCCATTCTCAGGTCTCCTTCGCTTGATAGTCATATGGCCGCTCCAGCTGTGTCCTGCTTGCCACTTGCATGCACTACTTCCATCCAGCCTCTTGTTTTCAGTCTGTGTCTATGCAAGTAGAATATGTCTCTTTTCAGCCTCATAGAATTTGCTCTTTTTATACCGAGTCTGACAATCCCTGTCTTTTGATTGGAATATTTGTTCAATTTGCATTTGTTGACATGGTTATAAGCCTGCCACTTGTGATTTATCTGATCTAAGTTTTGCTCTTTTGTTTTTCCTTTTCTTCTATTTGACCTTAAATGATTTTAAAAAGTACTTTGTCTGTATTTTATCACCATTATTGACGGGAAGGTTCATGCAATCACTTCGTGCCATCACCATTACAGGCCGTCTCTCCTACTGCCTTCTTTTCAAAATACTAGCAGAGGTCATGATTCATGCATAAGATCCTTCAAAGATTTCCACTCAAGATAAAATACAAAATCCTAGTAAGAACTGCAACACTTTTAGTAGACTCTTTTTTTTTTTGGTTTATACTTTTTTTCTTTTTTATTATTTTTTAAATTTTATTTATTTTTTACATCATTTTTCATTTTTGCACAATGTCTGCATTTTCATCTTGGTTATAGTCCCCATACAATTCCCATCCCCCTTATTTTGACCCTAATCCCTCCTTCCCTCCCCCCAACCCCAGTAGCATGTCTCTGGTTTATAGTTGCTTGCTGATTTTGATTTTTACTTTAATATAGTTAGTCTTTCTCCTGGTCCCTTATTTAAGTTTTCTAGATTCCTGCTATGAGTGAGACCATCCGGTATTTTTCCTTTTCTTTCTGGCTTATTTCGCTGAGCATGATCCCTTCCAGCGCCATCCATGTTGCTGCAAATGGCATGAGTTTATCTTTCTTGATTGCTGAGTGATATTCCATGGTGTATATGTACCACATCTTCTTGATTCGGTCATCTTTTGGGGGGCACTTGTGTTGTTTCCATAGCTTAGCTATTGTAAATAGTGTTGCTGTAAACATAGGGGTGCAGGTGCTCTTTTGTAGTATAGACTCTTTTAAGGTGAGACTCTCCTGTAGACCACCTCAAGTTGAAAATTTGCCTTTATTGACAATATTGCCCAAGCAAGTCTGTCCCAGCAGTGGATCTCTCTTCCTCTCCCCTCCCTTCCCGGGGCCAGGCACTCACTGAAGCCAGAAAACAGAGGGGGCACTTGGGAGTGTGGCCAAGGTGAAATGAGAAAGACTCCTTGGCACAGCGATGCTAGGAGGGGCCTTCTCTGGAAACGTGGTGGGGCTGGGCGGTGGGTGCTCTGCCGCCCAGGCCCTCCAGAGGCTGAGGGGAAGGAAAGGTGGACCCCCAAGGCAAAGGAACCCAGGAGTTAATGGGACTAAGGGAAATGGGTGGGGGGGAGAAAGTCAGGGGCTATGCCCAGGGGGCACGCAAAGGCCAAAGCTAGAGGGGTGAGCACAAAGGCTAGCACAAAGGCCAAAGCTAGAGGGGTGAGCGCCCCGTCCACGTCTCAGGATCCTGCTTGTTTGTTCTGTTGGGGGCAGGGGCGCTGAACAACTGCAAGGAAAAGTTGTCCAGTGTAGAGTGTTCCACCCTGCAGTTTTTACCCTCAAGAACAATTTTTGAACAAAAAACTAAATATAAACCAATGTTTATAGCTCTCCTACAGCCATAAAACCAAAACAAGTTTGCAAATTAAAACAACAGCGATTTACAAAGTCAATTAAATTCATATTAGCAATATTAATCTAACGTGATGGCTGATGTTTTGCTGAAACCAAATCCCCCCCCCGTCACGTGACCCCGGCACCACCCACAGCCTTGCGCCCCGCACACCCGCGGTGACTCACTTCTCCCACCGCTTTTCTCTCCCTCTCAACTGCTGGAATTCCTTTGTTCAGGCCACAGGCCCTGACATCATGTGGGCTTCACCCCGCAGGAATGCTTCGGTATGTGTCCAGTTGGCCTCCTTTGTCCCCGCTCCAAGGCAGGGAGCGCTGCAGCGCTGAGAGGTGTTTTTCATTCCTTCCACCCTGTCCCTTGCCCCACCATTTACTGTCCCCGGGGCAGAGCGGATCCAGACAATAGAGGGAACTGAAGTGCTGGATGTCTCCAAAGCCAGGCTTGCAGCGCAAGGCCAGGCTGGTTACACAAGAGCAGGACTCGGGAGTTCTGACCAGACAGAGCTGGGAAGCTGGAGGATGCTGAGTGCACAGCCAGAAGAGAAAAAAAAAGGGGGAGTGGGGTGGAAAGGAAAGGGAAGGGGGAAAAAGAAAGAAAAGAAAAAGCCATCGGGAGAGAAGAATGCTGGTCGGTGATGAGGCAGGGTTGTTTTCCCACCTCTGAGAAAGGAGAAGAGAAAAATGTAAAGAGCTTCGGGGTTGCTGTTTGGAGGGGGCAAAACTAGAACCCAAAGTCAAAAGACCGGTGAGATCTGAGAGGATCCTTCCTCCCCAGTCTCTCCCTATCTGGGGCCTACACAGGCGCTAAGTTTGGGGCACAGACAAGGGACCGAAATGCCCAGGGTTGGCCAGGAAGACGTAGGCCCACCTTTGTAGGAGCTCCATGCTCCTCAGGCTGCTCGGCGGCCCAGGGGCAGTGGGGAGAAGTCCCGGAGGCCCAGAGGGCAGTCTCACAGGGCAGCGAGGGAAAGTGGGCCGCGAGGCCTAGCCCACAGGGAGCTGACCCTATGGAGGAATGACACAGGGAAGGAGGACCTGGGGCCAGAACTGCAGAAGGACCTTGGCCAGAGGCTGGCGCCAGACACCCCAGGAGCAACACCATGGGCAGGTTGGAGAGAGTGGTCACTTGTCAGAGAGAGGCCCCACACCTGGGGCAGGGCGGCCGAAGGCAGGGTCAGAGAGGAACTGGGAATTTGAATCTCACCTTAAAATTTTTCAGACAAAAACGACAGAACTGCCTTGCGGTGGCAGGATCAAGAGTTCTCTGTCACCAGAAAAGAGCATTCGTGGGCTTGGCTGAGGGCAGCTCTGGGGACATTCATACATCTTTGCACGCTGGACTCTGATACCCGTGGCGGTGCTCCTCGTGCCCGCCGGGGGACAGCGCACACGGGTCAGGGCCGGCGCCGGAGCTCAGTTCTAAGGGGCCAGATGGGTCAAGATGTACTTTTCCTGTTAAAAAAAAAAAAATCAACATTAAAATATAAAATAAAATCAGAAAGAAACATCCCCGGTGGTGGGGTGGGGGGGTGATGCCTGATCAGCGGCTGCCCACGGTGACCTTTGAGTCCTTCACACGCGCCAATGCTCCTTTTTACTCCACGGCTTTGCACATGCTGTTCCCCTGGAATGGACTCTTTGGCTTCCAATTTATTTAAATTTTACTTCCTCAAAAGTGTTTTCTGAAACAAAGGGCAGGCTGTGCTTTGATTTGTTCAGTCAATGTTAGACCAGCAGCGAGCGCCCAGTCAATGCTAACGAGATGAATGGATGAAGGTGGATGCCCCATGTGTCAGAGACAAATGACTCCCAGGCTATAGTTTTAAGTCTGAGCTCTCATGTTGCAGCTTTGTGAACTTGGCTACGACACTGATATCTCTGGCCTCTACCACTCCATCTGTAAAATGGGTACTCAGCACACGACGCAGATCTAACAAATATGCCAGAGCGCTCGCTGTGCCTTTTGACAATGCCTGTCCTCTGGGAGCTCACAGCCCCCCCAGCAGGTGACAGATGGGGGATATAAACTTAGAGAAAAAACAAGGAAAGCCTGTGGTGAGGAGGTCACAGGGGTGTTGGAGGACCTCCTAGGAAGGAGAGTCAGGTGTGGGTTACGAGGCCACAACTACCCTTCACCCATCACCCCGGCTATCTATACCCCACTATACACCCATATCTGATCTCAAACATGTGCATTTCACCTGTAACTATTTCTCCGTGTCTCTAAAAGATGAAGACTCAAAATAATATGCCGCATTTTATTATTACTATTACATCACACAATAAAACACATAAATGCTGGTAGGATGTTTAGATGGTGAGGGCAGAGGGAGCAGGCTATATAGGGCCTTGATAAGCCTTGGGGTGCAGAAGAGGCCCTGGGGAGCTATCGGGCCTGGGTTGGTCCCAGTGTGGCCTCAGGAGCTGCATGACCTGGGCAGGTCATCAGGCCTTGGGGGCCCGCTGCTGGCTCCCTGGTCAAGTGGTGGTGGTAACATGTCACCCACCTCTTCCCAGGGCTGTCCTCACCATTTAACGTTATCAAGTAAGGGACTAGGTCAGGACAGTAAAACACCGCCCAGGTTTAAGGAGGTCATGCATCCCGGGAGAGGGAAAGCGAGTGACCCGTTCAGAGCTCAGCCGCTGTTCTGCTTTCCCAGCTGGTGGTGGCTCAG